CACCCCACAGAAATAGTCTCGAGCACCCAGAAAAGGTGTCAAACGAGCGCCAAAAGAGTGTCGGAACAGGGTCGAAGCAGTGTCTCTCCCAGGGCCCGGCACGTGAAAACCCTTGAGTTTTTTAGGTGCTTTTTGGGGCGCTCGAAATTCTTCCTGGTGATCAAGGCTAAAGTGGGTTGGAGCATCATAACCCTAAGCGAGAATGACTTTTGGTCAGAGCGTGAATTACCTCCCCCGCTTTCGCTTCCAGGCAAAACCAAGCCATACCACGCGCCTCCTCGTCAAGCGTCCTGACCAGTACAGGCCGCAATCTGGCATTGTTTGGTATCTCTTGGAAGCGAGGGTGGTCAAAAGCGAGGTAGGTTTGTTTTCCCCCGATTTGGTGCGCGGATTCAGGCGGGAGCGGGGCTGCCAACTCCAAGCGCGCAGGCCAGTGCCGGGGGCCTCTCGGAGGCACCCCCTGGGCCCGCACCAAAGGCCACTCCTGCGAAGGGCATCTCTGGAGCGCAGCCGAAATCGCCGCGAAAGGCGGATGCCTTCCGGCGCCTCATGCTTTTTTTTTGTTGTTTTTTTTTAATTTTATTTTTACCCGTGCTCACAGATCACATGGAACGAAGGCAACTAGCTTCGTACAAGTCACGATGAAAACAGCTTTTGCACCGGCAAGCCTTCCGGCGCCTCATGCCGATCATGGTCAGGGCGCGCGCGTCAAGCTCAGTCTGGGCAGCAACGTGGAACCGACGCGGAGGGCGGGAGGACTCGATCGCAGGCACGAGCCGCAGGTCCGCGACACTCACCGCTGCTGCTGCAGGCGCGGCGGCAAGACGGCTTTCGGCGGCTGGCCTCCGAGGACGCAGCTCGGGAGGCACGATGATACCGAAGAGCTCTCGAGCTGTGACTGCGCAATTTTCCCGCCTGGATCCAGGACGTGTCTCGCGACTTCGATGCTCGAGCCCCGCTGGCTAAGGCTCGAAGCACCTCCCCGCAACGATGCCTCCATGCCCACCTGCACACCTGCGGCGGCTCGTGCGAAGCATGTGCAGCTGTGAGCTGCAGTGGCAGCGGTGCTCGGCTCGAGTGTGACAAAGGCCCGCACAAGAGGCCCTCTCTCTCCCGCCCTCTCTCTCTCTCCCTCTCTCCGCGGCGACTCGACTTCTCCACGGCGCCAGATCTCGAGGCAGGCGGAGGTTGCACCCCGGGTTCAGCAGTCCCCCCCTCTCGGCCTTCCCTGGTCTGGTCCCATTCCAGTCCCCTGGGGCCTGTGAGAACCCCCTTGCCCTCCAGGTCCGTTGAGATCCTGCGCCCGCCCCCGCTCAGTTCGTCCTCCCAATCCTTATTTCTCCTCCTCAAGATCCTGTTGCTGCTCCTGCTGCTTCTTATACCCCCCCTCCTCGTCCTCGTCCTCCTCCTCCTCCTCCTCCTCCTCCTCCTCCTCACGCGTCGCACCCTGGCAGCCCCTGCACCCATGTGCAAACATAGATGCATAGATTGGCAGATCGACGAACATGTATATATATATATATATATATATAGATATGAGAGAGAGAGAGAGTGAGAGAGAAAGGAAAAGAGAGAGAGAGAGAGACATACACATGTATATATATAGAGAGAGAGCGAGAGAAAGAGAGAGCGAGAGAGAGATTGGGAACATGTCGCGCTCGAGGAGGTATCCTTGGACACGGCGCTGCAGTTCTGCAGGAGCGTCCACAAGTGGTTCGTCAGCGACACCTCCCCTCCGACGTTGCCTCGGCGCCGAGCGGCTCCCCGCCCTCGCCCGCCTCCTCCCTGACCAACACCCGCACACGCCTGCTCTGCTCCTCTTATGTCGGCACCAAGGGCGCCCCAAGACCAGCTGCAGGGGCAGGGGCGAGACTGTAGCCTCAGGTTGCAGGGACAAACTTCTCCCCCGGATCCAGGTGGAGAATCTTATCAGGATGACGCCCTTGTCTGATTGCTGCTGCCGCTCCTCCTTCTCCTCCTCCTCCTCCTCCTCCTCCTCCTCCTCGTCCTCCTCCTTCGTCCAGCCCCCCTTTCCTTTCTTTGACAACCCCACGAGGCAGGTGCGCGCTCGGGTTCCCCTGCCTCGCCCTCGTCCTTCTCCTTGTTCTTGTCCTCCTCCTCGTCCTCGTCTTCGTCCTGCTCCTCCTCCTTGTGCTCCTCCTCTCGGGTGTTGCCAGAAGTGCCCCTGGCCCAAGGTGCCCCCTGAATTTCCAAGGAGGCCCCCACGGCCTCCAGAGCAAACATCGCACCAGGGCTCAAAAGTTGAACCAAACGCTGGGGACACCTTGGGCCAGGGACTCCCTGAGCAACCCAGCAACCCCGACCCTCATCCTCGTCCTCCTCCCAGAGCCTTATATAAAAACCTGCGACCACCTTAAGGACACATCGAACACCCCAGGGATCCTTTCAACGCGTAACGAAAGCAGTCCGAGAGCACAGAGAATATGTGTCGTCATGGTCGTCGTCCTCGTCCTCGTCCTCCTCTCCCTTTCTACTACTGCTGTTCCTCCACCTTCCTACTTCTCCTCTTCCTCATGCGAGCGCCCCTTGCCCCTTGTTCGGAAACTAAATAGAAACCTCCGACAACCTCCCTGAAGCCTCCAAGAGATCCGGACAACAAGAAAACCGTTGTCTTTGTTCCTTTTCCTCCTTTTCCTTCTCCTCCGATACCGCTACTCCCTGGACCTCTCCCAGGGTGCGTTCTGACCAGAATTTCGAGGCGAATCCAGCAGTGGCGACGAGTGCCTCCCAAGAGGCCCAAGAAGGTGGAAACGAGGCAAGTATAGCGGTATGGATACCTGTTCCTCCTCCTCCTCCTCCTCCTCCTCCTCCTCCTCCTCCTCCTCCTCCTCCTCCTCCTGCTCCTCTTGCGGCGGAGCGCCGCCCCCGCGCTCGTTGGCTGCGTGCAGGCGGTGCGCAGGGCACGGCACCCGGCCCGCGGGGAGCAGCCGTGGCCCAGCGCCTGTCCAGAGCGCCCAGCAGCCAAGCAGCAGCCGCTCGCGGCGAGAGGCGTCGCGAAGGCCAGGGTCGATAGCAGGGCCTACCCAGGACCAAGGCGGAGACCTCCTCCACCCCTCCTCCGCATTCCCTACTTCTCCTCCTCCTCCTCCTCCTCCTCCTCCTCCTCCTCCTCCTCCTCCTCCTCCTCCTCACCTCCCCTCCTCCTCCTCTCCTCCTCCTCCTCCTCCTCCTCCCCATTCCGTCCTCCTCCTCCTCCTCCTCCCCCTCCTCCTGCTCCTCCTCCTCCTCCTTCCCCTCATCCCCATCTTCTCCTTCCCCTCCTCCTCCTCCTCCTCCCTCCTCCTCCTCCGGAACCACCTCCTCCTCCTCCTCCTCCTCCTCCTCTCCTCCTCCTCCCTCCTCCTCCTCCTGAACCACCTCCTCCTCCTCCTCCTGCTCCTCCTCCCTCCCCATTCCCCTCCTCCTCCTCCTCCTCCTCCTCCTCCTCTCCTCCTCCTCCTCCTCCTCCTCCCCATTCCCGTCCTCCTCCTCCTCCTCCTCCTCCTCCTCCTCCTCCTCCTCCTCCCTCCTCCTCCTCCTCCTCCTGCTCCTCCTCATCCTTCCCCTCCTCCCCTCTTCCTCCTTCCCCTCCTCCTCCTCCCTCCCTCTCCTCCTCCTCCGGAACCACCTCCTCCTCATCCTCCTCCTTCCCTCCTCCTCCTCCTCCTCCTCCTCCTCCTCTCCTCCTCCTCCTCCTCCTCCTACTCCTGCTCCTCTCTCCTCCTCCTCCTCCTCCTCCTCCTCCTCCTCCTCCTGCTCCTCCTCCTCCTCCTCCTCCTCCTCCTCTTTCTCCTCCTCTTCTGCTTCCTCCCCTCCTCCTCACCATCGCAGGTCCCCTGCCCACCCGCAGGGGCTCTCGGCACGTGACCAGCGCCAGGGAGCTCGCGAGCGAGGAGACCATCAGCTCCGCCGCCTTCCAAGCAGCGGCAGCGGTGAAGGCAGCAACGACGACCTCTCGGCGGAGCGCAGAAGGAAGTAGCGCGGAGGGGGGCTTCCCAAAGCTGGGGAGGCTTTGAAGGAGGCGCCTGCCTTCCAAGACCGCCCCCCCTTCTCAGAAGGGCGCCCCACTCGCTCCACCCCCTTCGTGCGCGCCGCCAAACTACAGCAGGGTCGCATGGCGATGACGTCGGCGCTGGGTTCTCGCACCGCGTAGACCGTTCCGCCTCGAAAACGACCGCTGCTCTGCGACAGCGCCGGTCGCCAGATGTCGGCCACTGCCTGGGCCACCTGAGCAGGGGGGGCACTCGACACCCGCAGAGCTGGGCCCTTCGCCGCCCTCGCGGGGCTCTCGCTGGGCCTGGCCCGTCCGCGCCCTCGTGGCGCTCCGCGCTGGGGGCCGCGCCGGGGCCGGCCGCATCAGACCAGCACGAAGCCTCCGTTGGATTCGCCCCCTGGGGTGCAGGGGCTGCCGCTCCCCTCCAGGCCGTCGGGCAGGCGACACCACGTCGCCACGGCTGGAGCCGCCACGGAGTCCTGGCTCTCTCGAGCTCAGACTGGAGGCCGCGACGACGGGGGCGGTTGCGGCGGTCTCGGGCAGCGAGGGAGACAACGGCGAGGCAGACGACGATGACGACGACGACGACGACGACGACGACGACGACGACGACGACGGCGAGGACGACGACGACGACGAGGACGACGACGGCGACGACGACGATGACGACGACGACGGCGACGACGACGACGGCGACGACGACGATGACGACAATGACGACGACGGCGGCGGCGACGACGTTGGCGCGTGGTGCTGGTGGCGGTGGCGGTTGCGGTGGCGGGGAGCGGCGGCAGCGGCGGAGGTGACCAGGTGGGCGCACAACGAGACAGAAGGGACCAACCTCTGACCTCCTGGCGTCGCGAACAGGTCACGACTGGCAAACTGTTCTGCCATCTTGGGCCTCTGAGGGCAACTCTCGGGTCATTTCCCGCTGCAGAGAGCTCTCGGCACGATCCTTCTTTAACACGTTCTCGTCCGGATCCATCGCGAAATCCTTGGTGACCATCTCCCGCGTGGTCCAGCACGAGATGTTCACCTGGCGGCGGGCCGGCTAGGGGCAAAGCCAGCGCAGACCTCCTCCTCCACCTGCTCAGCCTACCCCCCCCCCCTATCCTGCTGCCGCTCTTCCTCCTCCCTCGCCTCCTTCTCCCTGTCCTCCTCAGACTCTCCCTCCCCTCCGCCTCACTCTTACTGCCCCTCCCACACTCCCTCTCTGATTCCGTCATGATGTGTGTTCCCATTCTGCCACCTGGTCGGCTGATAGCAAGGTCACGACTGGCAAACTGTTCTGCCATCTTGGGCCTCTGAGGGCAACTCTCGGGTCATTTCCCGCTGCAGAGAGCTCTCGGCACGATCCTTCTTTAACACGTTCTCGTCCGGATCCATCGCGAAATCCGACCATCTCCCGCGTGGTCCAGCACGAGATGTTCACCTGGCGGCGGGCCGGCTAGGGGCAAAGCCAGCGCAGACCTCCTCCTCCACCTGCTCAGCCTACCCCCCCCCCCTATCCTGCTGCCGCTCTTCCTCCTCCCTCGCCTCCTTCTCCCTGTCCTCCTCAGACTCTCCCTCCCCTCCGCCTCACTCTTACTGCCCCTCCCACACTCCCTCTCTGATTCCGTCATGATGTGTGTTCCCATTCTGCCACCTGGTCGGCTGATAGCAACCCAACGCGGCCCCCTTTCCGTTCTGCCCATCGCAGGCAATGCAAGTCGACGTTACCGCGCTCAACGTGGAAACTTCGCCAGGACGTTTGCAAACTTCGCGGCAGCAGCGGGGGCGCGGCGCATGTCGTGAGCGAAATGTCGAAATGCCGTTCTCGCCTCAGCGCCGCGCATGCTTTCTGAAGCTGCGCTCCCGGAGGCGCGAGGCGACTTTGAAGGAGGAGAGGAGGAGGCGTAGGAGGAGGAGGAGGAGGAGGCGGAGGAGGAGGAGGAGGAGGAGGAGGAGGAGGAGGAGGAGAGCTCAGCTTCCGCCGGCGCGCGGCGCCCACGGTCCGGGGTCTCCCTTCGCGCTGTCGTCGGAAGCTGGGCCATGATGCGCGCGAGCGCCTCCCGTTCGCCAGACGGGGCCACGAGCGCCTTCCGAACCGATGTTCTCTCTCCCTCCTTCTCTCTATATGTTATATTTCATTTATGTATTCCCTTCTGTGTTTTTTTGTTCTCTCTCTCTCTCTGTCACTTTCGTTATCCCTCTCTCTCTCTCTCTCTCTCTTTGCATGGGTGACGTGGCAGTGGTTCGCGTTTGGCCTGCCAGAAGCGAATGCGTACACTTCTCCTGCACACCGTGCTCCAGCCTCTCCGGGCAAAGGTGCCGCCAGATGTGAGGGGTGCTCCAGCGGCCGTGGGGGCCTCCCTGGAAATCCTTGGGGCACCCTGACCTGGGTCAGGGGCACTTCTAGCAAACACCCGACGTCGCAGGAGGGGGGGGCAGGGGGCGGTGCACAAAGCCGCTGGCTCTCAATGGTGATTTGCAGACAGCCGCCTTCTCCTCCTCCTCCCTCCTCCTCCTCCTCCTCCTCCTCCTCCTCCTCCTCCTCCAACAACTCTTCCTCCTCCGCCTCCGCTTCCTCCTCCTCCTCCTCCTCCTGCTACCTATGGTGCTGGTGGTGGAACATCGGCCCATCAAAATCGGCCCAGGACGAACAACACACGATCCCGGGGAATGGATTCAGCCCGCTGGGGGTCCACGTCATCCAAACATCCTAACGTCGAGGGCCTGGGAAGGGAGCAGGCAGTGCCAGTCCCAGTTGGATGCTCATTCTGAGGACCTTCCTGGAGCCGCGCGCTCCACTCGCGCGTCGAAGCTGGAACAAACGTCCGTCGATCCGAGTCGACCTTGAATCGAACCTGAGTCGAGCCTCAATCGAGCCTGAGTCGAACCTGAATCGGACCGGGGTCAAACTAGAGTCGAACAGATCCGTCAGGTTAGCCCCTGGAAGGGTCCCCCGAAGGATCATCTGGCCTTCGGTGGCAACCCATGAGAGCCTCCCACACCATCTGTTCGGCTCTCGCGATTCGACGCTAATCAACGCTAGATCGACGCACATCGACGCTACATCGGCGCTGTCTCATCGACTCCAGACGTTCATCACGTTCATCGACGCCAATCGACGCTGAAGACGGAATTAAGAGGGTATACCAGGCTCCCATGATTTGCTACTTTGCTACCGAAATTACGCTGCCGAGGAACCCCAACATACCTATAATATTTCCCATGTGTACCATCGGTGCTTCTGCTGCTGCTCCTCCTTCTCCTCCTCGGTGTCCTCCTCCTGCTGCTGCTTCTGCTGCTGCTGCTGCTGCTGCTTCTGCTGCTGCTGCTTCTGCTGCTGCTGCTGCGTCTGCTGCTGCAGCTGCTGCTGCTGCTGCCGCTGCTGCTGCCCCACCTCCCCGTCCTCCTCGTCCTCCTCTCCTCCTCCTCCTCCTCCTCCTCCTCCTCCCTCCTCCTCTACCTCCTCCCTACCTCCCAGCGCACCCCTGTGGCGTCGAGGACATGCCACGCCTGCCACGCCCTGGGAGCCTGCAACGCATAGGGCCCCCACCCCCCCAGCGCACCCCCTGTGGCGTCGAGTCGAGGAAATGCCACGCCTGCCACGCCCTGGGAGCCTGCAACGCATGGCCCCCACCCCCAGCGCACCCCCTGTGGCGTCGAGGGGCAACGCCTGCCACGCCCTGGGAGCCTGCAACGCATAGGGCCCCCACCCCCAGCGCAGCGTCGAGGAAATCCACGCCTGCCACGCCCTGGGAGCCTGCAACGCATAGGGCCCCACCCCCAGCGCACCCCCCTGTGGCGTCGAGGAAATGCCACGCCTGCCACGCCCTGGGAGCCTGCAACGCATAGGGCCCCCACCCCCAGCGCACCCCTGTGGCGTCGAGGAAATGCCACGCCTGCCACGCCCTGGGAGCCTGCAACGCATAGGGCCCCCACCCCCAGCGCACCCCCTGTGGCGTCGAGGGAATGCCACGCCTGCCACGCCCTGGGAGCCTGCAACGCATAGGCCCCCCACCCCCAGCGCACCCCCTGTGGTGCCCAGGAAATGCCACGCCTGCCACGCCCTGGGGGCCTGCAGCGCATAGGGCCCCCACCCCAAGCGCACCCCCTGTGGCGTCGAAGGAATGCCCTGTGTGCTATGCTGTGCTGTGCTGTGCTGTGCTGCTGTGCTGTGCTGTGCTGTGCTGTGCTGTGCTGTGCTGAGTTGAGCTGAGCTGAGCTGTGCTCAGCTGTGCCGTGCTGAGCTGAGCTGAGCTGAGCTGAGCTGAGCTGTGCTGAGCACTGCTGTGAGGAGGAGGGGAAGAGTGAGGTGTGTGAGAGAGAAAAAGAGACGGAGAGGGAGGTGTGAGGGTGAGTGTCGCGGGTGCGGCGCGGCAGGGAAGAAAACCAGAACCCCACGAAGCATGTGGGGAAAAACGAATGGACAGACCCCAGCGGGCAGGTCGAGCGGGAGGAACGGGCCGAACATCATGGGGTGGGCTAGGCGGGCGGACCCCAACGGGTGAACGCGGCAGACCAGAGCGGGCGGGTCGCGCGGGCGGGTCGGCAGGATCCTAGACTGGGACGCACAAGGACATACTATTACTATACGGCGGATTTCGGAAACCCCTTAACCCAAAAACGCTTTCGTCTCTTGGGGGGGGGCGCATTGTTCACTTCCGCCGACCTTCCGCCGCCCCTCGCCGAGGCGGCCTCGTTTTGCTTCCGCCGACCTTCCGCCGCCCTCCGCGGCCGAAGAGGTGCCAACTCCTGCGATCCTCGCGGGCAAGGCCCTTCTTGGAACGCCCCGTGTGTCCTGGCATGGTGCTTCTTGAAGGAATCGAACTTTCTACACCGATATGTTTTCCGGTCCCGCACTGAAATTCGCACATGAAGAAGGATCATGGTGTATACGGCATCCTGGTGTAGACATTTGTCCTTGTTTCCGCGGGAAAGCGGGCAAACAAATATACACCACACCACCCCGACGTTGCCCCCGACCCTCAACAATTCCTGGGATTGCAAAACAGCCCGCCGCTGTGGGGGGCCACATGCGAACCCTACCCCTACCCCCCACGATTTCTGAGGGTGAGGGTGGGGTTCACTTCGCTCGGGAGCTCCAGGACGAAGTGAACCCCACCCTCCCCCTCAGACATCGTGGGGGGCAGGGGTAGGGTTCGCATGTGGCCCCCTGCACTGGTAACGTACACGCTCCAGCGTCCGATTCCTGGCACGGGCCTCCACTGGCAGCCCCCCGTGCGCCAGGGGCTGCCGCGAGCGCCCGCGCGCGCAGGCGGGCGGAGGCAAGCACACCGGGTGCTGCCGGAGACGGGTGGCGCTGGCCCTGCCCCGGCTCGTCGAGCCGCTGCCGGGGAGGGGTCCACCGTTCGGCTTCTCATCCAAAGCCTTCTTACCTCTCTCAGGAGCTCTCCGGGAACGATTGACGAGAACCGCAGCTGTGGCTGCAGCCGCGGCCGCGGCTGGAAGGAAGAAACCGTTGCACATGTGTCGCGGTGGTCTCTCCTCTTCCAAGCGCGGCCGCGGCCGCGTCCGTGGCTGCGGCCCAGAGGGGGAACCATCGCGAAGTTTTCGCGATGGTGCTGTCTCAGCTGAGAGAGGACCCGCCAGGGTCTCGCCAGGGGTGCTCCCGGGAGGCCGCCTGGGCCCTCCCGGACAGTCTGGGGCCATCTCGCCCCAGGGGGCGGGCGGGCCCCGAGGGAGAAACGGGTCCCGAGGCTCTTCGCCGTCTTCGGGCTCCGCAGGCCATGCCACGGGACGACTCGGGGCTGCCAGAGAGCGACTCGGGACGGAGAAGTGGCCCTGGGGGAAAGCCCTCCTCCTCCTCCTCCTCCTCCTCCTCCTCCTCCTCCTCCTCCTGGGGGAAAGCCCACCGTTTCCCTCAGGAGCCGTGTCCCCCGTGCTAAAGCTACGGGGGGCCATGGACCCCACTGGCAGCACTCGAGGGGACGGGCGCTGTCTTTTTGCTCGGGAGGCAAGGGGTGCGGCAGAGAGTGAAGACAAGGAGCGCCTCTTCAG